AGTGGCTAATTTGGAGCCTATTATTGTGCCTGAATACTGAAGTCTCTCTGTCTCTTCCCCCTTTTGTTTGTGTCATTTCACTTTTTAAATTTAAACCTAATCTGCCATTTTACTCCTCACTCACTGGGTGCAAGTCTCTTCAACATTGCTATGCTGTTCATATTTTGTTCTGACTCTTAAATAACTTTGTATGCTCATAAATGGTATGTGTGCTGCTAATATCCCTTTCTAGAGCACTTTTAAAATATGTTGAACAGTACAGGTCTCAGTGTATGGCCCTGTCAAATGCTACCAATAACCTCCCTTATTTTTTTTTGGCAATTTGACTCTTTCAGTCAGGATGATTCTCTTTCGGTGTTCTCTTTGCTTTCAGCTTCTTTACAGTGTTGCCTTGTGGCATGGAGTTCAAGCAGCATTGTACAGGGCTATCAAAGCATGGAGAGTTGCAGCAGGGAAACCAGATGCGATGTGTTCTGATGAGGGAAGAGGCTACTAACGAAACTAATGCTTCTGAGTCATTGTGAAAAAGTTTGTAACATCTTTGTTTTGTGGGCAGGCTTACTTAAAAACTGGACACAATCCATAGAATTTTGTGGAGGAATGTGGGTTGGTGTGTAAAATATTCTTCATTTCCCAGACAAGGTCAACGTAGAATTTCTCCAACACTTGAACTAGATTATTCTGTAGCTTTAGAGAATGAAAACTTCATTTAGTAGCCATACATGCTATTATAAAAAAATTCAGACATGATATATCATTGCAAGGAAGCTAATCTCCAGATAGCTTGCTCTCAGGGGGGAAAAAAAAGTCATGCTATCGTTCTGCTAAATAATCTAGACGCCTAAATTGCCTTTGGGAAATACAGCTCTGACTCTCACCAAGCTTGATGAATGAAATGCCCACATAAGAGCTTAAAAAACAGTTGGAAATGATGTATTCTTTTGTGGAGTTTGCGTGTATTAGATTAGAGTTATAGTGAAGCTCACTTATAGGTTCCTTGACAAAATCAATTTATGCCCTGAAGCATGAGTTTTGATAAGTGAGTTTATTTTACTTTATTTGTTTCAATGATTGCAGCTTTAATATTGTATTGAAAATTACTTGCATATGTGCAGGAAAAAAAGAGGCTGGGGAATAAATGAAATATTCTGTCTGCAGAACTTCAAAGCAAAGTTTGCTTGCACAAAGTTGGCAGTGGGGTAGAAAAATTCCATAGTCTGGAAGCATTTGGCTACACATCATTTGAAACTGTCTGTCCTAGGCACAACAGAACTACATAAAGGAAACCAATTTCCCTGGTTTATACTTTTCTTACTAGCAGAACATGCAAGTTGCATCTGAACGAGTCTTCTGGCAAAAAGGGTGTGCAAGTTATTTTTATTGCATCTTTGATAGAAAGTCCCCTGTTCTATTATATTGACAAATATGTGTATGAACTATGTTGAAGCTATACTATAGCTTTCTACTGCAGGATAGTTGAACAATTTAGCAAGACCCCACAGAGTGAGAGTGCGTGTCTTTTCCAGGATGTTGTAATTTGGTTGGCTTAAGTAAGCATTTCTTCACCATCCCTTCATCAGTTTAAGACTTCTCTTTCAGCTTTGAATATTTCAGCAGTGAAAAATTGAAAAGTATATTGGCAAGAGTCCCTTAAGAGATAAAAGTAGCATTTCCTCATTTTATGACTGCTGAAGAATGCTAATGCTGTTTTTAGTTTAGTTCAAAAATCTAGAAAACTTTACATCTTTAACATCAATTTTAACCTTGTCAATTTGAGGAATGCTGGAAAACAAAACTGATGAAATTTGCATTTTGATACACACTCTGCTATTCTCGTAGATATGACTGGTATTTTTAGATTTAAAATTTTCAGTAATTTTTATACTCTGTGTTAGGTACTGCTTGCTTGAACTTCTGGTAACGGTAGCTTCATGTGTCTACTCAGAAAAAAAAAATCATGAAAATGAAATGCGAATGTAGGTTCTAATCAATTTGGTGGTATTGCATTACAGGAAATTAATTAGTTACATGATTGTCCCTCCTTTGTCAGAAACGACTTCAGAGGCAAAACTGCCTTGCCAGAGGCAAAAGTGCTCTTGGCCATGTTTAATAGCAGCCTTTTGAAATTTAAGAAGTTCTTATTTTCAGCTATATAAGCTCCTAGGAAAGAGTATGAATGCATGCTGATGTGACTGCAGAGTCTAAGGGGATAGGTGACTATAAAGCTGAATTATTTAAATAAAGTTTGTGATCATGTGTTTGGTTTGAGGACAATCAGACATGTAACTCAGTCATTGGAGACTGAATAAATGAATTATTGCATCTGGTTATTGGCATTCTCCAATACTGAGTGTTCAAGTGAGGATGTTCTCTGCGGTATGTCACTGGACGCGACAAAGCTGCGGTCTGTAGCAAAGTAGCTGCTGTAGAACCAAGTGTTTGGCTTTATAGCCCTGTGTGAATGTAATGCCTGGTAATTCTAGCCTCTATACAGATTTTTTTGTTGGTAATTTTCAGCAGAGGACTCTTGAAGATACATTTCTAGGGCTCCTTCAAGACTCCTGTAAAAACTTATGTCTCC